GTGTAATCCCCATAAAGAAACTGTGAAAAGATCAGTCCACCATTCATTCATTGTTCCTGCTCTCCTCAGCTTTTTCTTTTTCCTGCCAATAAAACTCACCCATTCTGTTTAGCTCATTGCAGCGCCTTTCTCTTTTGTAGTCTGGAAGCTGCCCACCTCGCAGACTGCTAATAAAAGCCAATTAGATCTCTAAAACTCAACCTGTTGAAATGCGGTTCTTTGACACACACTGGCACTTGTTGGGGGCTCAGGCTGGCTTGCACTCCCTCAAGCATCATCCTAGCTGGCCCCCCACTTGAGCTACGAGCTACAAGATGGAGCTTAGACAGCATCTTCAGAGCAATCCCTCTCCTCCAAACTTCGCCTGTCTCTCTCTTGAGGTCTTCCTAGTCTGTGGCATATTCCACTCACAGGATACACTTGCTTTATTCTTGTGATTGACTGGAAGTCCTTGCATTCTGAAAGGGTGGCATTTTTACCTTTGTGACCTGTACCACAGAAAGCAGAGCCTCACAGCAGCTCCCAGACAGTTACTGAATGGCTATTTCAGGGTGACCAAAAGAGGCTCTGGAGAATTTGAGCTGATCTCTTGATTTCCTCCATCCGGGAGCCCAACTCCAATAGAAACACCAACCCTTTGCTGCCTCTTAATTTACAGTGGTTATACCAGCTTAAAAAAGAAAGGAGGGCCGGGGAGATGGCTCAGTGGAGTAAGCGCTTCCCTGGCAAGCACAAGGGCCTGAGTTCAATCCCTGGTTCTGCCCAAAAAAAAGGAAAAATAAAAAAAGCTAACTTTCAAATTAGAACTCAGATTTACTTTTTGTTTTGTCTTTTTGAGATAGTGTTTCACTATGAAGTTCAGGCTGGCCTGGAACTCCCAGTAATCCTCCTGCTTCAGCCTCCTGAGGTTTGAGATTCCAGGCAAGCACCACCACACCTGGCTAATTTGTCTTTTTTTTTTTTGGCAGAACTGGGGATTGAACTCAGGCCCTTGTGCTTGCCAGGGAAGCACTTATTCCACTGAGCCATCTCCCTGGCCCCTGATTTGTCTTCTGACTTGATTCTTTCCCTTTTTTCTCAACCACTTCTTCTATCATTTTGGTTAATGCCTTTTTATTTTCCTAATAATTACCTATAGTCAATTCTTCCCCATACACCTATTATTTTGGCTCTAGTTTACCAAGTGTATAATGCAGATTTTAGTGATATTTACTTCATGGAGTAAATTGATAAATGAAGTATGGTATGTATGTTGGACCTACTGTATTTTGTACATGTGCCCACAGTTCTTTGGAGAATTACCCTCTGATAGTGCCCTCTGGTTCTGGAAGTGGTACATGATCTGGCCCCACCAGAGCAGGTCAGGATGGTAGAGAAGTGGCAAACAAGCATTCTAGGGTATAATTGGAGTCCCTTCCTTGCCTAAAGCCAGATGCACCCTGGACTCAGAGGTTTTTGGATAAATATTGTACGTAAAGCACTAAGCCCAGTATTTTTTTTTTTTTTTAAACTCAGTATCTGGCATGTTAGCTTTAAAAAAAAAAAAAAATCTCTATTCCTTTGCTACATCCATACCCAATTCAGCCTTTTCTCCTCCCTCCATTACTCCTTCCTTATTATGTGTGTGTGTGTGTGTGTGTGAGAGAGAGAGAGAGAGAGACAGACAGACAGACAGACACAGAGAGAGACAGAGACAGACAGACAGACAGAGAGAGTCCTGTTATGTTGTATAGGCTGCCTTGAAGTCCAGGGCTCAAGCCATCATCTTCCTTTCAGTCTCCCAAGTAACTGAGAAGATAGGCTCCACATCTGCCCTACAGACCAGTTAGGACCACTTCCTTATTATTCTCTGCACAGTGTCACTTTGCCTGGGCTGCCCTGTCACCAACCTAACAATGACATCCCATACTGTTCACCAATTCACATCTGTCCTTATTTAGAACCAAGCCCATTCTCCAAGAATCCTTTGAATAATGCTAGCTCCTCACAGTTGGCTGCGATATCTGTTTTTTGTTTTTTTCTGATTCCCCCTCTACTTGCTTCTTGATTTCATATTACTTGAAGAGTTGTGGGGGATTCTATCTTTCCATGTGATCACTTATTCCTTCCTAGGTTGAAATTTTGTCATTGTTTTCTCAAGAAACTTGTACAGTTTCAGTCAACAAATGTTTTAAGAACAAATGGACTTCAACGTAGAGGTTGTGATAATCAGTTTAAGATCTGCTGTTACTTTTTCCTTTCTCTGTGTTCTTACATGATTTGCATTAGAGCACAAAAATATGATCCCAAACTTCCCACACTCCTCCCAACTGTGGCTTTTCAAGGTTGTTTTAGCCAAGTGTTTAAGGAAAATATATTTAATTAAAAATAATTTAGCAACCAGGTCTATTTATTTTTCTTATGATGCATATTTTATTAGTGCAGTGGATGCAGTATCTGACTGCTTCACAGATTTCCTTCCCTAGTAAACTAATGAGAACAGCATGAAAAAAGACCCTGACACAAGGGAAAAAGGTACATGTGCGGAACGGAGACTTTTTCTGTTTACATTTCCTCCTTTAGTTGTAAATGGGAAAGCAGTCTCCCAGTCCAAATAAATAGCTTCTACTAAGAAATACAGGGTTAAAACAAAAAGCTACTTGGAATCGAAGGCCTGTATCGCATCTGTTGAACTTAATTGCTCTACAATTTAATGGAAAGGTCAGGAGCTGATGAATTTAAACTTTAAAATAGCTAAAGATGAAAGCGAATTAAATTTAGTGCCTCTGGGATTGTTGATACATGTTCCAAATTTGTTTTTAATGACATAATTGTTCCGTGTTACATTTAAGATTACATCACAGCGAACTGCTTATACCTTATACGTGCAGTTACGCTAATAGAAGCCAATTCCATGTGTCAAAACGGAAAAGGAGTTCAACTGCAATGTTACCATTGAAAACTGTGTTAGTTGAAAAAGGAAGAGAAACACTTTGGTTGAACGATGTCCTAATAAGACCACACTGGCTAGAAAAACCTGGAAATCACCAGCATTAGGTTAACAGTGCATTTTCAACAGCATTGAAATCATTATTTTACTACCAAGCAGACACTGTGGCATTTTCTCAAGGCACTTTCTCATTTCAGTAGAAAAAAAACAAACAAACCAAAAACCCCTCCCAATCACATCAAAGGGGATTGTGCTAAATAAATTTTGAGAACATTCAAGAAATATGACATGAATCATATGTACAAATGCTTATTATATTTCACCTTTTAAAAGAACACGAAATGAAATTCAGCATGTTTGTTTCTGTTACACCTTCGGATATACACTTTTCCCCCCTTAATTGAAAGTAATTGCAATATTCTCCTGCCTCTGGGGCTTTCCCTTTCACAATTAATCATCTTTTCTTCCACACCTTCCCTCTGATTATTCCCCCTAGCCTTAGCGCACTTGACAGCAACTCATACAATTTCATCTCCTCGGCTTTCAAAACATTGTCCTCCCCTTGTGTACCTCTTTTACCACCCCTCTTTGTTCTTAAAAATTGATTTAACAGTATTCTTGCCCTTCTCTTTGCCAGAAGATGCTATACCATCTACCTAGAAAAACCTCTGTAGTGCAATTTAGTTTCCTTGCTTTGATCAAACTTTTAAATGTAAAGCTATTTAAATTCTTAGGATAACGAACACCAGTTCTTCAAAGGTTGCAATATGGTCATTGCAGAGCTTTAGGAGGTCTGGATACTAAGATTTCATCTTCAGTGATCCTCACTCTTGAACCTGTGTCCCAGATCATCAGAACCAAGCAAGAAATTGTGAAAGCCTCATTAAGTACCTCGCCAGCGCGGGCAGAAGAAATGCTTTCAAAATATGTCACTCATCTTCACATTTGAAAACAGCTTAGCCGTATAACCTCCATAAACATCATTAAATATTGGTGCTCGGAATTTCAGTCATGCGAGGTAAGCTTTCCAATTTATAGGCAAAAAAGGGTGGGCAAAAGAACCTGTTTTTCTTACATTTATTTTTCCAAAATCAAAACAGCCAGTTTGATTACATCTGAAAGTGTGAAGTTACCATTTGTCAAGCATCTTTTAGAAAGCCGCCTAGCGCATTAAATTAACCGACTCGTAGCCAAATCAGGTTTAAGGAGAAAGTGTTTCCCTTGCCTACAGTGACAAACGAGTTACCAGACGTCCTAAAACAAACTGTCAAAGTTTTATGTTTACTCTTCTTAAATACAGAAGAGAAAGGATGCCACAGTGCGAAGAGACAGGTTGCCTCGCAGAAAGGAGCGGGACCTCACCGTGCCTGGCCCGCTGGCCTCCCCGGGCTCTGCTGCCGCGGGGGAGGGGACGGACCTGGCCAGAGCTTTGTCCTGGAGACCCGGGGGTGAGGGCGACTTTTGGGGAGTCGTGCAGCTACCGCCTGCACCCTAAGAAACCACACACCGGTTTTGATCTCGCTATATCTGCCCTGGCTTAACCTTCCTGAGGACCCTCGAGCTCGGAGAGGAGGTGGCCCCCCAAGCCCCCGCCGGGACAGGGAGCGATGACCGCCAACCACTGAGAAGAGTGTCAGAGCCCAGGCTTCGCCAGCGGAACCCGCACAGCCGCTGGGGCTCGCTCCGCAGCCAGAGCCGGGGTGATCCGGGGCCGCAGACCCGATTTCGCCTGCGGCCAGCTGCGCCCGCACCGCCCCCGTGAGGCCGAGCCGGGGACGCTGCCCCGTGGCGGCGGCGGCGGCGGCGGCCCGCTGCGCGCCGGCCTGGGCGGGGGGATTCCTCCCCGTGCCCCCTCTTTCGCGCTCTCGCTCCAGTGCAGCGGGAGAGCCGCGGAGCCGGGGAGGGAGCGAGGGAAGGGGTGGAGGTGGCGGGGGGAGGCCGGAGGGGCGGGTCCTGCCTGGGGGCCGATCCCTCCTCCCCTCGGCTGGGCTCCGTGGCGGCGGCGGCGGCGGCGGCGGCGGCTCCATTCCCCTCCTCCTCCCCCGGGAGCGGCGGCGGAGGCGGCCGGGCCGGGGCCCCAGCGCGGGCCGGGAGGGGGACGGCGGAGGGCGCCGAGAAGGCGCGGAAGGAGGCCGCGTTCCGCTTCCCAGGCCGCGCAGATCTGCTGGGCAGGCCGCCCGCCGGTGCCCAGGGGCCCCGCACGGTGGAGCCGGGCCGGTGGCTGAGGTAATGGGGGCGGCAGCGGGGCCGCACTGAACGGGGGCGGGGGCAGCAGCAGGGCCTTACGGGGACCAGCGACCGAGCGAGGTGGGGGACGGGGGAAGCAGAGGGCTTCCCGAGCTGGGCGAGGGCGGCGTTAAAACTCTGCCCTGGAGCGAGGGCGGCGGCGGGGAAGGAGAAGGCGGCAGGGTGGGGAGCTGAAAGGCGAGGACCCCCTCCCGCACCCGCCATCTTGTCTCCCCCCCGGCTGTGGAAACCGAGCCGCCAAGCCCCGCCCCCGCCACGCTGTCCAATTGGCTGGGCCAGAGCAGAGTCCCGCCTCCCGTGGGGGTCCCTGGGCCTCCCGGCTCCCCTTGATAGGCATGTCAGACATCCAATAGGCGCTTGCCTCTCTGCCCGGCTGGTTCGCTGGCGCTTGCTTTCTGTGAGGGTCGGAGTCAGCGAGTCTCTGGTGCGCACTCCCTCCCCTGTGGAGAGATGTTGTTTCCCTCCTTTCTCCTTCGCCGAGGGGTGATGATTCTTTTGGAAGCGGGGTCCCTTCGAGGGGCAGGGGCCTTGACTGCGGTCTTCCCTCGTCTGAGTATCTTGTGTGGAGCGCAGGGGGTCCCGTCTAAATGCAGAAACTCCCCATTCGTGGGGGTGGGCGAGTAGGGGCGCAGCGGGTGCTGAGAACCTGGGGAGGGAGGACGGTATTTTTCGAGGTGCGTGTGTGGGAAGAGCTGTGTAGGTTGAGGAGACTCCCGCCAAAAGAGAGCGGGTGTAGACTGTCAGCTCCTTGTGGGCGAAACTCGCCTGTTTCTCCAGCAGCAGCCCCTCCCCCAAGGGCTGGCTGCGGGTGCGGAGCGCTGCGTGGGGGTGGTGCGAGGGATTCCTGAGCCGCCCGGGAGGTGGGAGGAAGGGTGTAGAGTGGCTTTAAACTCTGGAAAGTCGGAGTTGAGGTGTGATGTGCCCTCCGCTCCGGGGGAGCTCGGCACCCACCTCCAGCCCCATTGCTCAGTAGGTTGAGGCAGGAGGGTCACTTCGAGCTCTGTAGTGAGTTCAACGCCAGTCTTAACTACATAGGGAGATTGTCTCCAAAAAATTTAAGAAGCACAAGCCCAAGCGCGCAACTCTTTTAGAGGCTCCTTGCCCTTGGAGCAGTGGGCGAGAGAGCAGGTGTATTGGCCCAGGTTGCCTCTGGTGAATTGGCTTTTGTCAGGAATCTAGCAGCCAAGGGCCTCTGGAGCCTGAACAGAATTGCTGTGATGATTTTGTGTCCTTTGGCTCCAGGTGGTGTGTGTGTGTCTCCCTGCCTGGAGCTATTCTTTTTTTCTTTCTTTCTTTCTTTTTTTTTTTTTTTTTTTTTTCCGGAACCGGGGATTGAACTCAGACCCTTGCACTTGCCTAGGAAGCACGTATTCTACTGAGCCATCTCCCCGGCCCCAAAGCGGTTATTTGTGGGTTTTTTGCGGAACTGGGGATTGAACTCAGGTCCTTGCGGTTGCTAGGGAAGTGCTTTTTCCACTGAGCCATCTCCCTTAACCCCAGCTATTCTTTAGCTGACTCTTTTGGTTTGTTTTTGTAGCAGTCGCAGGTGGGGTTAGAAGGGCTTTTAAGTAAGGATGTTAACCTTGCAGGCACACACCTGGGAATCCAGCACTAGGGAGGCAGAGGCAGGAGGATTGTTGTGAGTTCAAGGCTACCCTGGACTACATAGCAAGGCCCTGTTCCAACCCCTTCCACATCCCAAAAGTAAGTAATGTCTTATTAACGAGTAGCAACCCTTAAGAGATAGATTTTATTGCTGTTATTTTATGGGCGGCTTATGGAGGCAGAGAAAGATTGAGACTTTTTCAGGTCACATGAAACCAAGATTAGAACCTGGGTTGCCCTGAGCCTTGTTTGTACCAGACTGGTGTTGCCTCAGTGCTCTTACCTCCTTCGAGTTGCAGCCTTATCACTTCCTGACTTTGCCTTGAGTGGCACCTTTTTGAGCTTGTTTATTTTATTTTTATTTATTTATTTATTTATTTTTTGCGGAACCGGGGATTGAACTCAGGCCCTTGCACTTGCCAGGGAAGCGCTTATTCTACTGAGCCATCTCCCCGGCCCCTCAGCTTGTTTATTTTTTAAATTAAAAAAAATGTGTATTTGGTCTCACTATGCAGCTTGGACTCGTAGTGATCCTCATGTCTCAGCCTCCCCAGCGCTGGGATTGCAGGTTTGTACCACTGTGCCCAGTTTTGGTGGTTGGCACGGCTTGCCGGGGGTTCTGGGGCTGGCGCAGTACCGGGGATCGAACCCGGGTCCTTGCACTTGCCAGGCAGATGCTTAGACCCCTGGGTTATTTCCCCAGCCCACTGAGCTTGTTTCTTCATCTTGTAAGGGAGAGATGATAATAAACCTGTTTCCTAAGGGAGCTATGAGAAAGGGCCAAAGGGACAGGGCTTTGTAGTTTGTGAACTCTGCTAAGTTACTCTCTCCACTCTGCTTTTCTCCATAAAATTCCCTCTCTGCTCACTTTTCCGCGTCTCTGCTCACATTGTGGGGCACCATCCCTAAAAGTTTTTATAGTGACTATGGCTTTGCTAACTTCCTACCGTAGCTTCTTAGGAGCTCATCCCAATTGCCCCGAAAATGAGATGCAAAACTTCAGGGCTTTCTGTTTGCCAGACAGGGCCAGGCTAGGTGTGTGTGTTTGGGAAAAGGGACTTTGAAGATTGTGGTACAGTGAGTACCGTGATACTGCTACAGTAGTCTTGGCCTGTAGTCCAGTGAGGATTCCAGATGGGCTCTTGCGGTGTTCCTGGGTTCTGCTTTGAGTGTACTAGCCACTTATCTGGGCTGCCGCCTTGACAGGAAATGCCCTGCATACTCTACTTTGAAGCTCTGAGTCCACATGTGATAGGCATTTCAGATGCCTTAACGGTGGGCAGGGCCTAGAAAGAAGGCTTCTCCCAGGGAGATGCGCTAGGGGAGCGCTCTAGACCTGCGCATTTCTGATCTTCTCTTGGGGCCCAGTGTTGGTATAGTGCTCAGAAGTGGCTGCTGTTCTTTCCTTCATCTATCCCTCCTTCTTCTGCCCTCCCATCCTTTTTCTTCCATCCCCTCTTCAACTTTTTGACAGGGTCTTGATATGTTGCCCAGGCTGGCCAAGAAGCCGGGACTAGCTTTTTGCCACCACACCCAGCGTGTGTCTTCTCTGAATCCTCAACCACCACCCTCTGCTTTTTTATAGTTAGCTTTCCCACAGCCTAATATGCATCATTAGTTACATCTTTATTTTGGGTTGTAAGGATTTTTCTTTTTTTTTTTTTTTTGTGGAGCCAGGGATTGAACTCAGGCCCTTGCACTTGCCAGGGAAGTGGTTATTCTACTGAGTCATCTCCCCGGCCCTGTAAGGATTTCTTTTCTGACTCCTGGAGCATAGGTCTCATGAGGTTTGCTCTCCTTTCATTCACATAGCATTTATGGGGTGCTCACCTGGGGAAGTGGTATCTCTCCAGGCATCTCCAGGGGATAGAGCGGTGAGCAAGACAGGCAGGAACCCTCAATTCCATGGAGCTCACGTTCTAGCAGAAGGAAGCCAAGTAAACCTTATAAATAAGTGAACTACGTAGCATGGTAGAAGAAGGTGTGATGGAAAAGTGGAGCAGCATGCATGCGTGTCCAACTCAGTCTCTTGGCTTTCTCCCTTCAGGTCTATTTCCTTGGTGCCTGGGTGCCATGAGGAAGCCCCGCCGGAAGTTGCGGCAGAATGCCGAGGGCCGGCGTTCCCCGTCCCCCTACAGTCTCAAGTGCTCCCCAACCCGAGAGACACTGACCTATGCCCAGGCCCAGCGGATTGTCGAGGTTGACATTGACGGACGCTTGCATCGCATCAGCATCTACGACCCTCTCAAGATCATCACTGAGGATGAGCTGACTGCTCAGGACATCACTGAATGCAACAGTAACAAGGAAAACAGCGAGCAGCCTCAGTTCCCTGGCAAATCCAAGAAACCCTCGTCCAAGGGCAAGAAGAAGGAGCCCTGCTCCAAGCATGCACCTGGGACCTCCTTCCATCTCCCGCAGCCCAGCTTCCGGGTGCTGGAGCCAGGCAGCCAGCCTGAAGCGCCCCCGCTGCCTGCCGCCTATTATCGCTACATCGAGAAGCCGCCCGAGGACCTGGATGCAGAGGTAGAGTATGACATGGATGAGGAGGACCTGGCCTGGCTGGACATGGTGAACGAGAAGCGGCGGGCAGACGGGCACAGCTCTGTGTCAGCAGACACCTTTGAGCTGCTGGTGGACCGGCTGGAGAAGGAGTCGTACCTGGAGAGCCGCAGCCTTGGGGCCCAGCAGTCGCTCATCGACGAGGACGCATTCTGCTGTGTGTGCCTGGATGATGAGTGCCACAACAGCAACGTCATTCTCTTCTGTGACATTTGCAACCTGGCCGTCCACCAGGAGTGCTACGGTGTCCCCTACATCCCCGAGGGCCAGTGGCTGTGCCGCTGCTGCCTGCAGTCTCCCTCCCGGCCTGTGGATTGTGTCCTCTGCCCCAATAAGGGTGGTGCCTTCAAGCAGACCAGCGATGGGCACTGGGCCCACGTGGTGTGCGCCATCTGGATCCCCGAGGTGTGCTTTGCCAACACTGTGTTCCTGGAGCCCATTGAGGGCATCCACAACATCCCGCCTGCCCGCTGGAAGCTGACCTGCTACATCTGCAAACAGAAGGGGCTGGGCGCGGCCATCCAGTGCCACAAAGTGAACTGCTACACAGCCTTCCACGTGACCTGCGCTCAGCGTGCTGGGCTTTTTATGAAGATTGAGCCCATGCGCGAGACCAGCCTCAATGGTACCATCTTCACTGTGCGCAAGACCGCCTACTGCGAGGCCCATTCGCCGCCCAGCACAGCCACGGCCAGGAAGAAGGGCGACTCCCCCAGGAGCCTCAGTGAGGCAGGGGATGAAGACGGGCCGAAGGAGAGTGGTGGGGAGCAGCAGGAGGAGGACACAGGGGAGGAGCAGCAGCGGCAAGGCCACGGCGCGGCGGGCAGCCCCCTCAAGGCGGTGCCCAAGAAGAACAAGGCCAGTGTGAAACAGAAGATCAAAAAAGAGCCAGAGGAAGCAGGCCGCGACACGCCTTCCACCATTCCCGTGGTCACCGTCCCACAGATACCCTCCTACAGGTGGGCCTGCCCACGGGGGCTCTTCTAGGTTTCTTTCTGGTTTGGTCCTGGCCCTAGGAAGGTTTGAGCCCTTCCCTAAATGTGATTGATAGATGTCTGATTGATAGATGTAGGTACCTTTCTGTGCCCCTAAATTTAAACGTGTCTTTTGGAGCCTGGAGCCTAGGTAGTATCTGTCGGGTCTTGTGGTTTTTGATTGTGCCCGCAGGGTAAAGTGTTTCCTTTGGTTTAGGGTGAAACAAAACATTAAATTGCTTAGAAACTGGTGACTTTTATCACAGTTGGGTGTGGTGGGACACGCCTGTAATCCCAGGCTGAGGAAGGGTCTCCTTGAATTGAGGCCAGCCTGAACTATGTAGTGAGATCCCATCTTAAAACAACCCCCTCAGGCTGCATTTTTCAACAAGGCCATTAAGTGGCATTTTGGGACAGGATAATTCCTCACTGTTAGAATGTCCCATGTGTTTCTTGATGTCTAACATCCCTGGTATATGTAAATGCCTGTTCTCTCCCGCGTCTTTGTGACAAGCACAAGCACTCCTAAATAGTTTTCAGAACCCCCCAGGGTTAGACTATTCCTGAAAAGGAGCCACTGTGCCTGGGGGTTGACACCTCTGCCAACAGCTTTGTCCTGGGTATGACTGGGACTTGTGTGGGGGAGGGGTGGCGAGGGGAGAGTTTATTCCTTAGAAAAACCTTTAGACCTAGGCTCAGTAGCATAACTAAGTTGCCTGCCACCCCCCACCCCAGGCCCTCCAGAGATTTTGTGCCGTTTCAAACTCAGTGAGGGAATGGCTCTGACCAAGGGATGGGAGCTAGCTGTGCAGGGAAGTGAGAGTCTGGGAAACATCCAGCAGAGGCTGGTCCAAGGGTGGCTCCCTAGCAGGTGCGCAGCGCTAGAGCAGGGGCAGTGTTGGAGAGTGTTCCGTCTAATGTCCTTGCACCTTCTCCCACATTCCCAGATAAAGAATCTGCGGCCACAGGAGGTAAAGTTGCTCCTTTATTCATTCAATGAGATATTTATTGAGCACATACTATATGCCACTTCCTGTTCTAAGGGATGGGACCAGGTAGAAGGATCCTGGACCCAGTGGAGGCTTCTGGTGCCTTTCTCCAATATGCTGTTGCTCTCAGCTCTCTTGATAAGCTTAGATGGGCTGGGGAGATGGCTCAGTGGAATAAGCACTTCCCTGGCAAGCGCAAGGGCCTGAGTTCAATCCTGGTTCCACCAAAAAAAACCCCCAAAAACTTAGAGACAAAGTAGTACTGTGGAAGGTGGTAGGGAACGAGTTGTGTGCAGGGGGCAGGAAGCCAGCTATGCGGGCTGGCAAGAAGGCACGAGGGGGAGCCCAGCACTGGAGGCCCTTGTGTACCATGACCCAAGTGAGGATTTAGGTGACTCTGAATGTGTCTCTTAGACCCAGAGCTGTCCCGGGCTGCTCTGGCCTGAGCTGTATGGTAGCTGTGCCCAGCGTGGACTCTGGGCGTCATACCTGTGCACCACATCCCACTCCCAGGGGCTGGCTAAGCCTGCTGAGCACAGACAGACCTGCTCCCGCGTCATCCAAACTGCTCTCAGCCTTTTGCTTGTAAATGAACCTGTCACAAAGAATTGTGAGAAATGAATGTGAGAATGTAAGTGAAGCACTTAGTACAGAGGCTGGAAGATAGTAAGTGCTCAATAAATGGTGGCTGCTGCTGCTCCTGCTGCTGCTGTTTATTATTATTCTTTTCCCTACTTGCACAATGCTGTCGGACCCTCTCTGGCCAAGAGGTGGTAGAGGGAGGGGGCTGCCTGCGTCTGGGCAGGTGTGCTTGGCATGGGCGTTGGGAATCTGTCCTTCGGGGAAAGGCCTAGGCCTTGGATTTTGTAAGCTTGGCTTTGGGGCAGGAATGTCTGACCGGAGGTGAGCAAGGCCGAGTTGAGCAATGTCCAGGTGCCCATCGTTAGGGTCCCTCTGTCTTGATTAACCACATTTATCTTTCTTCCAGTTGCGGGGTGTGTGGGGGAGATCAAAGCAGAAGAAATACCACAGGGGCCCTGAGGCCTGGCTTACCCTCTGAAAAAGCAGTTTGGGGATGTCCCATGGTGGAGAGGTCATGGATTCAGATCGCACTCAGACTCTCCCATCCTGTTAGCTGCCTTCATTGCTCTGACAGTTAATTCAATCCCTGTCCCTAATCAGTCTTCCCGTCTTTGGCAATGTACGAATAATGTTGTTCCTATTACAGTGTGTATATTAGGATAAGGATTATGTTCTCTCTTAATTCCTTTTTTTTAACTGCCTTGCCTTTCCCCCAGGTGTTACTTATTGGCTCAAACCCTGACCATAAAACTTATACCCTTAGATCCTTTTTTTTTTTTTCCCATTTGGTTCCAAGCTATGTTTTTCTTTTTCTTTTTCTTGTGGTACCAGAAATTGAACTCAGGACCTTGTGCTTGCCAACAAGTTATATTTTTAAGCCACTTTCATTTTTACTGTGAAAAACCAGAGGTCATGCCGCTCTTAGGGTTTGCATCTGGGAGCAAAAGCAATAGTTCGCTATGTTTTCTTTCCAGCGCGGGTCCTACGCTGCCCCTCACCACAGGAGACAGGAAACTGGCCACACTGCCCATAACTTACTCAAGTTCCTGTTATATTTTGCTGCCTTTCTGAAGAGAATGGGGGTGGTCTTGGAATACAGGCCTATTTCTCACTTAAAACAGGGGATGTAGGGGTCCAGGACCACAGGAAACAGGGTCACGGAGAGGGTTCTTTTGGAGGGTTAGGGCTACAAGACAGGAAGTGGAAAAGCAAATGAAATACTTCTTGTTGCATCTGAGCTGCTTAACTTTGCTGTCCTTTCAAGGCTTTCTCTGAGGTCAGGCACTTGGCCACTTTGTTCTGTGTTCTTCTGTAAGGTTCAGAAATGAACCAGGGTTTGGATAGAATGCGTGGGCTATCATCTGGGCTGCCCACTGACCCTGTCTTTCACTTCCCTGTGCCTCTACTCAAGGTTGAACAAGATCTGTAGTGGTCTCTCCTTTCAGAGGAAAACCCAGTTCATGCAACGGCTTCACAACTACTGGCTGTTGAAGCGGCAGGCACGGAATGGCGTTCCCCTCATCCGGCGTCTGCACTCTCACTTGCAGTCCCAAAGAAACGCTGAGCAGGTAGGTGCTGTGGTGGGGGGAGATGGAGAGGAGTGAGGGCTGGCCCCTGGCCCTGAGCCCTGTGTGGAGCCTTTGCCTCCAGGGGGCCACCCCGTCTCTGGGTGACCATCCCAGGCACAGCGTCCATTGCTGCAGAGGTCTTCAGAGGGGACAGCAGCCCCTTCTGGGTGAGAGAGGCTTGACTGAGGAGCAGGTCCAGGAGAGCGGAGGCTGTCCCGGCTTCCCTTGTGTATAGGGCCAGTGCTCCGGCCACAGTAGCAGGGAGGAGGTGGGCCGTGAGCGTAGAGAAGAAGGCCCCTTTTCTCAAGACCCTGCACTGATACCGCCACCTGCCAAAAAGTGTGACCTTGTAAAGGCACGAACTTATAATCTTAGAGGGGGCACAGCCTGTTGTGCATTTGGGCTCGCCATTAGCTGCTGGAGCTGCTGCTTGTGTAAGGTTTCCTGCTCCTAATGTCCCTTCTGTTCTCATCTTCCGTTCTCCATCCTCCTTCACCTGCTTTGGTACTAGTCTTTAACTCTTCCCACACTGATGCTCCAGAGAAGAAGCAATCCTTTGTGTGACGCTGGTGCTTGAGTATTCCATCTCAGAGTACGTTTGCCTTTTGTAACTACGCTTCCGAAAGGCAGGCGAGTATCTGCTCGCCCTTAAGCCCTTGGCCCATGTGCTTTCCTGAAGCCCCCCTAAAACATCACTGACCTCCTCCCAGCACATCTTTCCCTAGAGTGTCACTGTATTGACTGTCCAGGTACAGTTGGCATTGCCTGTCACCATGTCTAAGAGCTCCAGCGAGGCACCACTTTAAGTTTTTGTCCCTGTGACTGCACCCTGGGTTGATTCTGCTTCTTGCTCCTTGAATGTTCCCTACAGCTTTGTTGCCTGCTTGTTTGCTTGGAAAGCATGCTCGCTGCATAGTTAGATGTAACTGTGGCAATAGCTCCCGAGTTTTCGATTTTTCGTTTTGTTCTTTACCCCCTCCTCTCATTTCGCCTTCTGTCCCTCTGGGCTATTTCCATGTTGTTACTTATAACTCCGATCTTGGAAACTGAATCCATTATCTTATTCTCAGTAAACTTTCCCCCTATTTTTGTCAAAGTACCTCCCTTCTGACCTCATGGGGTGTCCCCACTGGGGAATTACTTTCGATTCTTCCTCCCATAATGGGTCGCGGTTAATCATCCTCTAGGCTGGTTTGTGGGACTTCCATTGCACAGTTAACCAGCCTCCCCAGGTCCCTAGATCTCAGGGGTAGCATTCTATCTAGGTGGCCTTCAGCCTGTAATTCTTCCTGTCTTGCTCACATACCATTTTCCATGCTGTCAATTCTTTTTCCAGAATATACTCTTCTGCTCCAGGCGGGGTGAGTCCAGCCTCTTGCCTGGCGTTTGAGGCTTGTTGCTACCTGGATCCTGGGGCTCCAAGGCTTTCGTGGTCCTCCAGGTTCTGGCTCAGGCTAGCCCATTTTGCTCACTAAGCAAAGACTCATTACTTATGCCCCACATTTCTGCCTGTCTTGCCCTGTCAGTACCAGAAGAGGCTTTGCCTGTCTGCGTCCACCATTGTAGATGGTGGATCTCTGCTCCTGTGAGATTACTCCCCCCACCCCCCCACCGCGCAAGCATTTCCTACCGAACTCCGCCTGCCCTCTATTTTGTAACCTGTCATCATTTTACATTCAGTTTACACTATCAGTTTTTGTCATAATTATTCTAATAGGTGCTTGTGTTTCAGACCCTGGGTCTCTTCCTTCCCCCAGCAACTCTCTTTTAGGACAGTGTCCACAGCTTTTTGTTGTTTTACCAGACTCTGTTCAAGCCACATTGTATGAGCTAATAGAAAACAATTTTGCTTTGTTTTGTAGCCAAGCCAAAGCTCTAGGGTGAGATTCTTTCCACCCCTGAGGTGTCTATTAGTTTTCTTCTGAAATTCTTTGCAGCCCTGAGGGCCTCAGCAGATCTGGGCATCCCTGGGGGTAGGCAGAAAGAGCCAGTGGCTCCCTATGTGGCAGCCTTCCCGTGCAGCAGTGGAGAAACACTGAAAGCCTCAACAGGCAGAGGAGGGTCCTGGGGAGAGAGCTGGGTCTAGGAGGGGGACGGGATTCATGTGTGCTGGAGCTGGCTGAGTCTGGAACGGGGAGAGGACCTCGGGCTGGAAGGAGGCTCCCAGCCCCTGTGCCTCTTGCCTTCTGCAGCGAGAGCAGGACGAGAAGACGAGCGCAGTGAAGGAAGAACTGAAATACTGGCAGAAGCTCCGGCACGACTTGGAGCGGGCGCGGCTGCTGATTGAGCTGATTCGGAAGAGGGAAAAGCTCAAGCGGGAACAGGTAAGCAGTGGTCCCGGCTCCAGGGCTCTTGCTCAAGGTTGTTTTTCCCCACTCCTAGTGTGACGTTGGGAGGCCCAGGAGCCCTGGCCTGCTGCCAGCTTTCTGTCCCCCTTTCTGCCCCAGTGCTGCAGGCCCCAGTCTGCCCACTGCACTATGGTAGGTATGGTTTTGTGGTTCAGCAGAGCTTCGTATATCATAAGCCTCGGCACATTCCTAGGGCTTCTGCTTGAGGATGTTTAGAGGAGCAGCTGTGAGTACCCTGAAAAGCTTGTCGGGCTGTTCTCATGAGTATCGCTGGTTGAGGAGCAGTGGCCTGTACCTTCCAAGCCTTCTCACGTGGCCCTTACACATTTCCAGTCTCAAATTCTTTGACATGTCTAACCTCAGTTCCAAGAGAATCTGCGCCCAGGAGCGTGGGAAATGTTAAAACGGGTGGAGCATACCTGTAGGGATGCAGGCCCTGGCCCCAGAGTGGGGTTAAATCCTGGCTCTGGGATTCCCTACCTGTGTGACGTTAAGCAGCTTGCTTCATCTCGTGGTGCCTGCATCCCTCCCCTGTGACATGGAGCCAGAGGTGCAGCTTTCGTCACGGTGTTGTAAGGAGTCAATGACTGTGTATGGAAAAGGATCTTCTAGGCCAGGAACAGAGCAGCACAGCACCTGCCTGGCAGGTGCGAAGTCCTGAGTTCGATTTCTGGTGTGGGGAAAAAAATCTTTGAACAGTGCAGGTATGTATCAAAGGCTGTGGAAGTATCAGCTGCTGTCATGTTGTTTCCACTGATGCTCTTTGTCTTGCTAAAGCGTCTACTGTGCTCACACGCACAGCAGAGAGCACAGTACTGTTAATTGAATGGATGGAGCCAGAACTGTTCTCTTTGGTCCAGGAATAGCAGCTGCTACTCACATGGTTCAGAGGCCCGAGTTACAAATGGTCCTTTTCCCAGCCCTGTATCACTGCTCACCTCTAGCATGCGCCCTTCTGCAGCAGGTCAGGAGCCTGGGTCTCCGCCTCCAGTCCTGGGCAGCCGTAATCGCACTTAGCATGGGTGCCCTGGGAGGCATCCTGCAGGCTCCTCCGTAGCTTCTTTGTAAAATAGCTCATCTTTGTCTGCCTCACACATTCACTTCCGTAAAGTGCTTCAAACATTGCCTGGTACTTAGTATGACGTATACAAGTGTTACCTGTTATAGTCACAGTTACTTTGCTACCTTAATTAAGCCTTGATGTGGGGATTGATATCTAGAAGCATTCATAAAATGGCAGCTGCTTTAGTTTGCCTTTTGCTGTAACAAAATGTCACTGACTGGGTAATTTATAAAGAAAAGAAGTTTATTTCAAATGGGTCATGACACTGAGGTGGGAAGTCCGAGCACAGAGTCTGAGGAGCTCTCGCTCCACATTAAGTCTTGGTGGAGAAGCAGGGCCAAGGCCACAGTAGTGGGAGAGGCCGCCTCAGCAACAGGCTGCCCTTGCAGGACCAGCGGGCCCACAGGTGCTCCAGGCCAGTGGGGACACCCCTCTTGTACTCCACACTGGGGCTGAGGGGCAGCACCTCGGCTTTTGGCAGTGGAGAGCTCCTATAGCACTTAGCTCAGTTCCTGTGAAAATTCGTGGTCCGTGACAGAGGGCAGTCAGACTGCGGAGAAGTTGGAGTGCTCCTTGGCAGGGATGTCCTGGTCACCTCCCGTCTTCCTGCAGGTCAAAGTCCAGCAGGCTGCCATGGAGCTGGAGCTGATGCCGTTCAATGTGCTGCTGAGGACCACGTTGGATCTGCTCCAGGAGAAGGATCCCGCGCACATCTTTGCTGAACCTGTCAACCTAAGTGAGGCAAGTCTGTCCCCTCACCCCCACCTCACCCCACCCCTGGCCGCCTGCTTCCCCAGCAGCACCCTGAGTTCAACACAGGGTCACTGTAGGCCAAGGAGGGATTGGGCCACAGGGAGCACAGGGGTGAGTGGGTGTGGTGCCAAGCCAGGCCAGGATACTTGCTGAGGTGAGGGTAGCTGGAGGCAGGGTGGGTCAGGCCACACAGAGAGCGGGAGGCCACAAGTGCCCGAGAAGGGTGCGCCTGTTTGGCTAGTAAATGGTTGTTGTAATTGTACAGGTTTTATATGTTTAGGTTCCAGATTACCTGGAATTCATATCCAAGCCAATGGATTTTTCTACTATGAGGCGGAAGCTGGAGTCCCACCTGTACCGCACCTTGGAGGAATTTGAGGAGGACTTTAACCTTATAGTTACCAACTGCATGAAGTATAATGCTAAAGACACAATTTTCCACCGAGCAGCTGTCCGCTTGCGGGACCTGGGAGGGGCCATCCTACGGCATGCCCGGCGACAGGCAGAGAACATCGGCTATGACCCCGAGAGGGGCACCCATCTGCCAGAGTCGCCCAAATTGGAAGACTTTTACCGCTTCTCCTGGGAAGATGGTGAGAAGTCTGGATGGGTGGGGAGGAGAGGGGCCAGGAGAGACCCAGGAACAGAGTGCAGGGAGCCAGGGCTCAGGGCGGGCCTGGGGACCGTAGCGTGGACTCCAGAGGCCAAGCTGAGGCAGGCACAGGCTGTGGCTGGAATAGTTCCGCGATTGAAGTGGAGCCAGGCTGCTGAGCACTTCTTGAGTAGTCAGAAAGGGGAATCAGGTGCTGCCGCCTGTTTAGAAAGCTGAGGTCCCGCCAGGCTCTTCTCCCGGCTCCCCTCTGTGTGGCACTGGAGCGGGGGCAGGGTTGTAGACTGCAGGGCGTGTGGTCATTCGGAAGAGTGCAGGTGGAGGACCAGAAACAGAAGCGCCTCTGCACCTGCACGGCCTGCCCCGCGCTCTGCTTCTCCACGCAGCAGCCAAACAGTCCCTCTGGCCGGGGGATTGCCAAGCTGCCTTGTGCCTGCTCCACGGAGCCCTAATCGTGACTGTCAACTGCTTCCTGCAGCTGTTTCCCACATTCTGACCTTGCTCCCCTGTGGCTACCTTCCGGAAAGCGGTGTCAGAGGGCTGAGGGCCCGCGATGACGCCACTGGAAGCCACTGGCCTGGGCATTCCAGGAGAGTCTTTTGCATCCGAAGGACTCAGTCCCTTTCCTTGCCCTGGGCTGGGCAGGTCCTTGAGCCCCTTCTGTCCTCCCTTCTCCCTGGCAGTGGACAACATCCTCATTCCAGAGAACCGGGCCCATTTGTCCCTAGAGGTGCAGCTGAAGGAGCTGCTGGAGAAATTGGATCTGGTGAGCGCCATGCGGTCCAGCGGGGCCCGTACCCGCCGTGTCCGCCTGCTGCGCCGGGAGATCAACGCCCTTCGGCAGAAGCTGGCACAGCCGCCCCAGCCACCCTCCCTGAGTAAGACAATGCTCAATGGAGAGCTGCCCGCAGTGCCCCAGCGGGATGCAGAGGTGCTGGAGCAGGGCTTACAGGAGGAGCCGGAAGACGATGGGGACAGAGGTGAGAGCGATGCCGGGGAGGTGGGGAGTGGGGGCCACGCTCATAGCTGCCGGGAGAGTCCTTCCCTACTCAGGTCTAGCCCCGTGGGAGGTCAGTAAAAACCCTCGGAAGAGTCACTGTTCCGTACCGTCCTCAGGGGATGATATTAAGAACACTTCATAATTAGTAGAGACCAAGATTTATTTATCAGAGTAAAGGTTGTCTGTTACAGGGGGCTGGGTGCCTGATGGCCCCTGGTGTGGCTGATTGGTTGCTGAATTGTGGGGAATTCAAGGAGTACCTGGTGCCAGAGCTCAGCAGCTGCTTACTAGACATGTAGGAAACCTTATAGTATTTTGCACTTGATGTGGCCATGTTATACATTCCAGTTAGGTATCTGCCTGCCTTTTGCCACCGTGGAGAGAGGCTCTCAGGGCAAGTTAGGTTGGGCTGCAGGGTTTCAGCCAAAAGACAAGAGCATACACATGGCCCAGGCTCTGCAGCTGCCTCTTGATTTTGGCCACAGCTCACCAAGTCTATAGGCTCATCCCAAGCGGAAAGGCCAAGCTGCAAGGGAGCCGGACAGTGATCCTCAGAAACACAGGAGCCTTCAGCTGAGCTATGCTGTCTTTCATCAGGGGACAGAGTAGTCACCCTTGCTCCTGCTCTTGGATGAGAGCCTGGGACTTGGAAGAGCCTATCATTCACATAATCCTAAACTTAGGGGCTATTTCTGGTGGGTAGGGGTCCAGCTTGCAGGGAATGTCCATTGTGGTTTTGCTTGGCTGGGAATAGGGATTTGCCTGAGAGTTTGCATGTGGCACTGGGGGCGTTGTGTGTGTGTGTGGCTCTGCAGCTCACCATGGGGCAGTCAGCGTGTTGTTATGTGTGCCACTCATAGGTGCTGGCAGGGCGGTCAGGCCCAGTAGACCAGCTGTCGTACATACCCTAGGGCAGTGATGGCGAACCTTCCAGAGCCCGTAGTGATAGAAGCAGCCCACGTGGCGCATGTGCCATAGGTTCACCACCACTGCCCTAGGGTTTCAAAACAAAATTCCCAGCCTCGCTTCTCGGAGATTTAGATGGGCTGGCTGTGTGGTGGGTGTCTCAGTGCTTTACGGTTTCAAGGAGCTGGGTCAGCAGGCCTGCTGGAGAGCCCCTGAGGTGACTGCCTGGGTCTGTTTTCCACGTCTGTCATTTTATTCTTTCTGCCCTCTCTACTTACTTTTACTTGGATGATGTGAAACAAAATGGATGGCAGATAAGAGAACACTTGAGTGGAGTGAGAAATGCAGGCCCCTGCTATGCCGAGCTGAAGCATAACCTACTCTCTGATGAAGCACTGACCTTTTCAGGTGCGCGGTGGTAGTTTGCAACTCTCACTGCATTAGACTCACCTGGTATTTAGCTTCAGCTGGTCTGGGATGTCCTGTAAGCATTAGAATTTTTAAGAAACTTCCTAGGAGGTTCTAATATGTAGCTAGGGTTGAGAGATATTTATTAATATAGGTGAAAATATTTATTAGTGTAGTGTCTTACATTCTCTTTGCTTTAGATGTAAGACCTGGGATGTGTCTTCAAGTCTCATAGCAGCCCGTGCTTTTGGTCTGTGGCTCTCAGTGTCAGTATCTGGTGTGTAGGGGCAGACTCCTTCTAAAATGTTCAAGCAGGTTCTCTTTTTCTCTAACAGATGACTCCAAACTGCCTCCTCCGCCAACTCTGGAGCCCACTGGGCCTGCACCTTCCTTGTCTGAGCAAGAATCCCCCCCGGACCCTCCTACTCTGAAACCCATCAATGATAGCAAACCTCCAAGCCGGTTCCTAAAGCCTAGGAAAGTAGAAGAAGATGAGCTCTTGGAGAAAGCACCCCTACAGCTGGGGAGTGAGCCCTTGAACCACTTGCTCAGTGACAGTGGCATCAACAGACTGTCTCTTGTGGCCCCCGACAGCCCTGCCGATGCCCCTCTCAGTGGTGTGGGGCGCCGCACATCGGTCCTCTTCAAGAAGGCCAAGAATGGAGTTAAGCTCCAGAGGAGCCCAGATAGGGCCCCAGAGAATGGCGAGGACCACAGTGTGGCCGGCTCTCCCGCCTCTCCCGCCAGCACTGAGGATGAGCACCGTTCCCGGAAGCGGCCAAGGAGCAGGAGCGGTAGTGAGAGCGAAGGGGAGCGGTCCCCCCAGCAGGAGGAAGAGACAGGTGACCCTGCCTGTGCTTCTCGCTGCTGCTCGTCTGCTTTTTCGCTTTGCCTTGCCAGCCAGCGCCTGCCCCAGTGAGCCAGCTCCCTCTTGGCTTCTGGGCATGCCCTGGAAACACTGGGGGCTGTAGCTTGCACTGGGGCCTGGCACATGGGCCGTGGCTCAGGGAGGCAGATGTACTGGTGCTCTCGGAGAGCCAGAGTGTGTCCAGGGCTCTCTCTGGCTTGGAGGGGATGTATGTTGTGTATGATAAAGTGGTTCCTACCTCCATTTCAGTTCATTCATCAAGCACTGTCTTAGGTGGTGGGAGTAAAGCTCAGTGAACAGAACAAGCAAGAATCTCCTTTCAGAGGGGAAATAGACCTAAAGCACATGAAGTATCTTATATTAGCTTTGGGGAAAAACCCAGAAGGAAGGGAGGAATAGGGCACAGTGGCATTCGAGAGGGTAGCCAAGGAGGTAAAGATCTGAAGGAGCTGAAGGCATGAGCCGTTTGCCTATCTGGGGACAAATACTGCAGAAAAACAGATTAGCAAATGTGCAGCCCTGGGGTGGGACCGAGCCTGCCCATCCATGGAGCAGCAAGCAAACTTCGGCCAAGTTGGGGGTGGGGTGGGAGTGGGTCGTGGGGACTGGACCTACATGTCCAGCTTGAGCTGGTCACTGAGGATGGGGGCCACAAAGTATGCTCTAGAAGTGTCATTGTCTAGTAGAGAAAGTAGTCTGTACAGGACCGAGAAATCACCATGTGCCCAGGTGTCGAGTGGCAGGTAGCAGTGCAGGGCTGTTAGAGAACCTGAGCTGACCAGGCTGGGGCGGCATCCTGAGGAGGGTGAGCCAGCCCAGGGGTGAGGGCAGGGTGGGGCATTGCCTGGGGCCAAGCCCGTGTGGCTGGGGTGGGACTCCATTTGGGGACCAAGTACCAGACAGAGCGGGTTAGTCTGGGCGGGACAGGCTGCTCTGGGCCTTTGCTCCTTGTGTTTCTGTTGTGTCCTTTCATGTGGTGGCTTTGCACTGTGTGGCCAGCGCTTGGCTGTTTTGCTTTGTGTCTGTCATTTTGTTTACAACAATATCTTCTCTCCCCATCTGGTTCAAACTTACCTGTGCTGGGGCAGAAGGTTGATAGAGAGGCAGGAGCTTCAGGCCTGGGCTGAGTATGCCAGAGTTCAGATCACCACTTGTTATGAGCTATATAATCTGGGAAAATTTGCTTCTCTGGGCTTGTTTCCTTATTTTTGATACGGAAATAGCGGTAGCTACCTTGTAAGGCTCTAGAGAATCAGAAACAGTCTATATAAAGCCTTTAGCATATAACACGATGTTATTGCCGTCCTCTCTGCTATATATGGCTGAGCCAGACAGCTAAAAATGAAAACTCCTGCTGTCGAGAAGAGTCTGGACAGCAGGTCTGTTCTGCCCACGGGGCTGCTGCAGAGGAAACCTGTCCCTCCCCAGCGTCGCAGCTGCCTGGCACCAGGCACACTTCCATCCAACCTCAGTGGACATAGAAACAGGTGTTGATGCTCTCTAGGTCAGCTCGTTTTGTGCGAGGCAGGGTCTGGTTAGGGTGGGCACAGCTGGCCACCTGCTCTTCCAGGTGTGACTTCAAGGCTCCGTGTGCAAGATGCCTGTTGTGCTCTGCCGTCAGGTGACTGGCCCACTCTTCTCTGGGCGCGCTGCTAGAGTGGTGGCCTCAGGAGTGCCGTGAGACGTCAGATGCAGCCAGGCCACGTCGCCCGGTCACCGGCTCGCCTGACTCAGAAGGTTCCTGTGCAGGCAGATACTCTTTCCCTCACACTGCATAGTGTCCTCCACAAGGAAGGGGGCCTTAGCTTCACTCAACAAAAGAAGCCAAAAACGTAATGTGGAAAGAAACCAGTATTTTGGGTCCCCACCTAGAACCTGGGTTCAAATTTCCCGCCTAGAAATGTCTGGGCCACTCTAGTTCTGCAAGGTGCACTGTCCTCAGCTCAACCAGCATGGCAAGGTCGCCTGGGTGTGGTCCACATAGAGGCCTTATCATGCCCCAGCCTCTCCCGACAGCATCCCCAGAGAATGGGGCCAGCTGTTGCCAGCTGTGCAGTGGGCAGGGCACATATTGTTTATCTAAAGAGGCGAGGCAGGTGGAGGCCTCAGCTGGCCCCTGATAATGGAGGCTTTTTTTGTACCAGGAGTTGAACTCAGACCTTGCCCTTGTCCCATATGTGCTGTGCTGCTGAGGACATCCCTGGCTAAACATTGACATTTACAGTGTTTTGTTTTGTTTTTTACTAGGAATTGAACTCAGGACCTTGCACTTGCCAGGCAGGTACTGTGCTGCTGAGCTGTATCTCCAGCCCCTGAGGTTTGAAATTAGAAGCAGGGGCCAGAGAGATAGCTCAGAGGAATAAGCATCTACCTGGCAAACACAAAGACCCAAGTTTGATCTCCAGCCCCATGTGCCCATGCAGTCTTGGCCCTGATCTCCAAATCTGCCATCTTCGCCCCAGATATGTGTGCCCACCATCCAGCCCTGGAACCGGGCATGGTGGCGCATGCCAGTAATCCCAGCACTGGGAAAGTTGAGCCAGGAGGATGTCTGTGAGTTTGAGACCAGCCTAGGGGGCTACAGAAAATGAGCACAAGGCCAGCCTGAACTGCATAGTGAGACCTTTTCTCTAAAAAATAAAAAAGAAATTAGAAGCAGATCCGGGAACTTGGGAGCCCACCAGGTGGGGAAGCCTCACTAGTTTCCCCTGTGGCCAAATGACACTAGTCAGAATCAGCCGTGTGCAGTGTTTTCCTTAAAAGTAAAAAGATGGGAAGGGAGATGGAGCAACTGTCCATTGCCCGAGGCAGCGGTATTTCCCCCAGCCTTAATCTCTGTGCAGTTCTCTTCCACCACCTGTTTCCCACAGAGAGGAGCAGCCACCTCTCTTCCTCCCCTGCGCTTTCTGGGGGCAGCTGCCTTATGCTGTCACCTGTGTAGGGGGAGGGGAGTCCTACACACAGGCTCACGCTGTGTGTCCTTGGCAGGTGTGACCAATGGCTTTGGAAAACACACTGAGAGCGGGTCTGACTCGGAATGTAGTTTGGGTCTCAGCGGTGGACTGGCATTTGACGCTTGCAGGTAAGGACCTTGTCCTCAAAGCTCGGTCAGCAGTTACCGTCCCTCTCTTTAGTCACCATGCAGCCACAGGACGAATGTCTTCCTTCTTATCTTGGGTTTCACCATGCTATTTCCTGAGGCCTCTGGTGTGTAAGTAACTCTGGAATCTCCTAGGAAACGGGGTGACCCTTGTCTCCCAGGTCTGCTCCTGCTAAGAGGAGTGGTGTTGATGCTCTGTGTGGGACTGGCAGCCTGCCGTTGGGCTCTGAGCTGGGAAGTGAACGGCTGAATCTCCTTTGCAGGGGCGTTCTCGTGTGAACACTCCACCCACCACTCCCACTTGCGTCACCGAGCTGGTTACAGGCATGGTTTTTGTCCTCGGCCTCTTGGGTTCCAAAGCAATGGTCTCTCAAGGCGTGTGGTGTAGAAATAAGGGACGAGGACCTTTGGCATCGCCTCTCACTCGGACAAAAGCTCCAGCTCATCTCCCATCCTTGCACTGAAAAGGGGTGGATTTCTTGTGTCATTCTTTAACCTGGGTGATGGATTTCTGAGAATAGAACCTTAAAGTTTCTACCAAGTCCAAGTTTAGTGAGCCCCTGCCCTGTGGTCTTGTGTGTTAGTGAGACTCAGTCTGCACAGGAAAAATGACCAGTCCTAAAGGCTGATGTCATGGCTCGGGGTGCCTGGGCCCAGGGTTGGGGAGGATAGGTTTCCGGCAGCACCAGAAGGCCGCCTGTGTTTGGCACACTGCAGGCAGCTTGGGTGTGCCCTATCCTGGCCAGTGGGCTCCAGCTTGGGTTATGGGACACCCTTGGCCTAGACTGTCCTTGCTTCTGTTCCTTTGAGGTTTTCCTCCCACAGATGCTCACAGTTGCCCTAGCATGCTCTTATGTTCTCTCCCTCTTTCACCCTCCCTCTCTTCCTCTCCCCCTCTTCAAGCCTTCAGAGAGACATGAAAACCAAAGTTAGCAGCCATAGGGCGGAATCTTAGAAGATACCTTAATTCTGGTCCTGCATTCAAGTTCCAGGCTTCCTGCAGAGTCTAGAGACCTAGTTCATTGGAGTTGGAGTAGAAGCCAGGCCATCCAGCCCTCTCTGTTCCTTGACTAAAAGTGCCCTCCATGCAGGACACTGCCCAGTGGCGCGGGCCAAGGCGTAGGCTGAGCTTAGCCTGTTGATTCAGGCGGCGTTTGCCTTTCTGCAGAGCTGGGTACCACTGTTTTCACCGTGCTCCTCCTGCTTGATGTGGGACCAGTGCCCTTGGAAGGCATTTCCTCTTGAACTCAGTGGTTCTCCGTGGAATTTCAGGGTTCAAAATGAGATTCAAGGACCCCAAATGCAGGCTTTTTTCTCTATATTTTCCCTCTTCTGTCATAATAAGAAACAAAAAGGAAGCTCTTGTTTATTAGAAATTATGTCATCTCAAAATTAGAAAAACCTTGATGCAACAATGTGTTGCCCATTCCCTCTTCCTAGCCTGCCCTTTGGCTGCTCTTTTCTGCTGGTTCTGAGCAAGTTAGAGCCGCACTCTCGTCCTGCATGTTGCTTTTTTTTTTTTTTAGAGCAGAATATATTTATTGAGGGAGAGAAAGCTCCTGTCTGAGAGTGAGACAGGAGGGGGACCTGAGCGGGTACTTCGTCCGGGCAGTTGCACATGTTGCTTTTGTAACTCAGCGATCGTGCCTTGGCTGTGTGCCCACACTGACTGCTCTGGGTGTTGATACCGTATCTGTTCTTGTGGAACTTATCTTCTGGGCAGGAGGTTGAGTTTAAACCAGCAAACAAGATAGTTACAGATTGGGTGGCCTGCTGGGCCCGAGTCACCTGAGCAGGGGCTGGCATGCTGGCCAGGATTGAATCAGTTGTGCTTTTTGCTACGAATCAGAAACAGGCATTTTGGATGTTGTATTTGGTTGAGCTCCTGTTTCTCAGAGCTCATCGTTCTGTAGGATAACATTAAGTAACACATTAAAATTTACTGCCTTTCAAGTAGTAACCACAAGTGCCATTTTCTGAGGCTGTGGTGTGTGCTCTACTGAGTGCTTTGTGTGTATTGATTCATTAACTCCCCACAACACTGTGGGGAGCACAAACCTCAGAACAGTTAAGTGACTTAGGAGCACAGAATTAATGAAAAGAATTGAGTTTTAAGCCTAGGTGGTCTGGCCCCAGAGTTTAAGCTCTTACCTGCTTTGCTGTGCTCTTTCCTGCTATATTTGGAGGTATTTTCCCAGATTCAGGATGAACTTTGAAAGACTTTCCTAATAAAATTACTGGTACTTCACATCCGTGCATAATCTCAGTCTTCACCCATTTTGACTAATAAGAAAATACTTCCAACCTAACTACTCTTTACTTGAAAGATTATGATTCATGGGTTTTGATTAAGCAAAAATTTCCTTTTCCTTTTTCCCCCCTCTTTCCTCAGTACTGAAGATTGAACCCAGGGCCTTCACACTGAGCTATATTCCCAGTCCTTTTTAGTTATTTTGAGACAGGGTCTTACTCAGTTTCCAAACTACTCATGTTAGGCTCAAGCCTGACATCTTCCTGGTCCAGCCACCCAGAGTGTTGGAATTACAGGGGGCACCACCGTGCCTAGCCGCAGAGTTCTCTTAGTATGTGGTAAAGTCAGTTCTGACCCAGTAAAATAGAGTGTCTCACTCTCCAGCTATTCTTACCCCTGGCTGTTACTTATCCAGGGCTTCTGAGGTATTTTGTTTTATGCAACTGATGACTTATCTGTTAAGCTTTTTTTTGGGACAGGGTCTACAGGGTCTTACTATGTACGGACTTGTAGAGATCTGCCTGTCTGTGTTCAGCCTTCCAAGTGCTGGGAGTACAGGTGTATGCCACCACACCCAGTCTTTTTTTTCTTTTTAATTTGAAAAAGTGATATAGCAGTAATACCTTTTGAAGTTTAGGTAGAAAAAAGACCTATCCACATCCTTGTCCAGGGGCTCTCATGTGGCCATATGCTAGAATTGCACATGGATCCACACTGATGGTTGGGCGGCCTCATTTGTATCACTGCTGTAGTATTGCTATTCACAGATTTGCTTGTTTCTTTCTAGGCTTTTTCTAGTATATATTTTACCTCTGTTGTAGCCATGTTTTAAAAAATGGGTATACTTTTTAGTTAAAAAAAAAAATCTCTAAGAAAAGCTTCACATATAAACTATTTGGAAGTGAGAAGTTTTGTTTTCAATTTAAAAATGTCTTTTCTAATTCTGAAAGTATGACATGTCCATTATAGAAAATTTGGAAGAGAGACAAATTTTTGTACCTCAAAAATAAATGCTTTCTAATGAAATAGCTCATAGACCACAAAGTAAGGAATTCTGGGCAAATACAATGTGGCCACTGTCTAACTTTCTCATTGCTGGGATAAAGTACCTGGCCACCCATAATTTAAAAGAAGAAAGGTTTATTTAGCCCACAGTTTGTAGAGGTTTCAGTCCATAGTCAGCTGGCTCTAAGGCAGGGCGGCAGGTCCGAGGAGCCTGGCAGTGGAGAAGCAGCTAGCCCTCCTTTCCTTTTCTATTCTATCCAAACTACAAGCCTATTGGTTGATGCCATCTACACCCAGGGCAGGTCTTCCATCTTCAGTAAATGCATTCAGTCACAACCAGAACTATGCTAACCCAGTTAGTGGTCAATGCAGTATCATACCCAGTCAGTACCAGGAGCCCCACCTATAAGTGTATGAGGCTTCAGGGGACATCTGGATAGAAGCCATAACAGCCACTGCACATGACAAGTGCTGAGCTTCTGGAAGCATTGACAAGTGACAGGTTTAGTCTGTCGAGGACCTTCCAGGCTCATCCCTTGCATATTATGAAATGATTCCTGTCAACCTGGTGGGAGCTTCCAGGTGGGAAGTATGTCGTGGCTCAGTGTGAGTGGGGAAAGTTGAGAAAAGCATCCTCCCTGATGGTTTCTGCAGCTCCCCACCTGCCCACGGTGGGAAGTTGCAAGTGGCGAGTTGGTCGTTGGAGCTGCTCATTCACCCCTCTCTCCATGCTCTGTGTGCAGCGGTCTGACACCTCCCAAGCGCAGCCGTGGGAAGCCGGCCTTGTCTCGAGTGCCCTTCCTGGAAGGTGTGAACGGAGACTCCGAGTACAACGGCTCAGGTGAGGAGCAGTGGTAGGTGGAGCTGGGGGGCCAGGCCTTCCCAGGCGCCATTGCGGCAAGCTGCTGTGCTTCTGGAGCACAGAACTAGTCCGCCACCCCCGAGCACCCTGAACCCTTGGACGCGGGCCAGAGAGATGGCCTGAGCTCCTAGGTCATTCATACTTCCCTTTAAAAAGTCTTAAATGTGAATATGTAATATTTGCCCATGGTAACAGGAATCTGCAAGGTAGCCAGGGGCACGTAATGATAGCCCGCACTCTCTTCCTGGAGCACCAGTGTTGGCGTCTGCTTTGGTGCCCTTACGGAGGTGCTCATGAATAGAGAAGCTAGAACTTGTGTGTGTGCTTCAGAAAGTGGCAGATATGTCCCATGTCCTCATTCCTCTGTGGTACTGTTTTTTTTTTTTTTTTCCAGTTAATAAAATACTTTAGCGATCCTTCTTTGCTCTGTAGTGGCTGCCTAGTGTCCTGTTATAGGAGCGCCTATAAGTTTAGCCACCCATAACTTTAGATACTTAGGTTCTTTTCACTTAGTTCTATTGCTTTGAGCAACTTTATGTGTGCATAGGTCATCCTGTACTCATGAAGAGAATTCCTGTGGAAACAGAATTGTTGGCTGGAGGAAATGTGCATTTGTAATTTTGATGGAACCCTGGAGCTCCATGGATCTTGTCTTCTTGGACCAGTGGAGTGGATGGACAGGACAGGGCAGGGGTGGCGCCCTGGTACAGCAGGTGCAAAGGGGGCTGAGCTCACCCAGGGCAGCCCCGGGCAGTCCAGGGGCTGTCCTTGAAGCCTGCATCTAGCACACCAGCTGTGGGCTTTCTCTTCCCCTCCTGCTTTTCCCCAGCTGCTTTCCCCTCCGATAGCCTCAGTTTCTGGTATGTGTGTGTGTGTGTGTGTGTTGATGAGTGTGTGCTTGTGCGTTTCATTACTCTGTGACTGTCAGCCCCCAGAAGGCAGGACTTGTGTCCAGATGAATTTGGGCAACATCTAAGTTCAAGACCAGGAGTGGATTGGCACACTTGGAGCTTCTGGTGGTGACATTTCATTCTTATTTTTAAAATACACATACTTAAAATGATGCCAAAATAAATTTTAAAAGGGAATTGAGCTCTCATAGTTCTGTCATCTCCACACAATTGTCTTCATTTCTCCGTGTTGCCTTCTGTTTATTTAGGCACATTTTTAACAAAGTGCTAATCCCAAACACATGTACTTTTGTACTCTGCTTTCTGTACTGTTACCTCATACTTTTTCCATGCGGACACACAAGCTTTCTGTCTCGTGTTGTGGCGCCCTGGGTCTAACAATGCAGTGTGTGTACCTGGTCTGCTAACGGCTTAGACTTGGTTCTCTCGGACTTCTGACATTGCACATGATGTGGAAAGCCCACATTTTTGTTCAAAAACAAAAATGTTTATTTATTTGAAAGTTATTTTTCTTAGAATAAATAACCAAGGAAGGAATTTACTGGGGAGCAGATGGCTCATATGTTTTCTTTTAATGGCTCAGAGACGCACGGCCAGGTCACATTCCGCTGGGCGTTTAAAAGTTGTAAGAGTGGAATTTTTCCTTGGAAATATAATTGCCTCGCTTGGAGTTTGGGTCTTTTTTCCCTTGGTCGAGTGCAGTCGCCTCCCTGCTCGCTCCCAGTCTGTAGATGTTGGGAGGGAAGAGGGGTCCCTCTGGGGCCCAGGAGCACAAGCAGTGTCAGCGGCAGGTGGGACAGTAGTGTGAATAAGGTGCTGGCAGGGACACGCAGGGCTGCCCACCTGGGTGCTTCTGCTGCTGTGCGGCCCGGTGTCCCAGATGGCCCGGTGTGATTTGGTCAGAGAAGAACCCATGTAGCAGGTGCTTTTCCTGGAGTGCCCTTTCTAGGCCTCTTTTTCCACAAAGCCTCTGCCCTGAGAACTCCCTGCTCGGGACCAAAGATTGGGGTGTGGCTCTGCCCGAGTAGGGCAGGGCCCTCCTGCCAGCTGTGGGGAAGAGGCAGTTTCATCTTCCCAGGGAAAGTCAATCTAGGGCTCATGTTCACGGTTGGTGAGCTATAGGACTGTCTGTCCGTGAGCTTAGAATGGTTTTTTTGTTATTTTTTTTTAAATGGTTAAAGGGAAACTCAGAAGTTTTATGACATGTGAAAATGCATGAAATGCAAACTTCATTGTCCAGAACAGGGTTGTATTGGCCACATAGCCACAGTCACTTGCTTTTAGAGTCTGTGGCCACTTTGATACTGCAGCTGCAGAACTGACTAGTTGGCTCAGAGACTGTGAGGCCCATAAAACCTAAGCTGTGTGTCTGGCCACTGACAGCTCATTTGCCCACCTCTGATCCAATCTAGGAATTTCTCCTCAGGAAAAGGTAGGGAAAAGGAAGGGTGGAGGGGATGTTGCCGACTCATTACTGGGCCACCCCAGTCATCTGGAAGCCACAAGCAGAGCTTCTGGGCATCATGCCAAGTCCCCTTTGGGCACTGTCTCCTCCCCTCCCCCACCCCCAGGCAGAAGCCTCCTGATGCCCTTTGAAGACCGCGGAGACCTGGAGCCCCTGGAGCTGGTGTGGGCCAAGTGCCGAGGCTATCCCTCCTACCCTGCCCTGGTGAGTCTGCCCACATGCCCGCTCCTCATCCCGGGCGGCTTGGCCCGGCCCGGCCTTGCCTTGCCTTGCCTTGGGGGCTTATCTGATTGGCTGGAGCCAGCAGAGTGGTGGGGGTCAGGGTGCCTTTAGCTGTTGAGGGGTGGGGGGCTTGCCCTGGCCTTTGTGGGGCAAACCAGCAAGGCTCCCAGCTGGAAGAACTTTAAGAAGGCTTAAAGTGGCCGGACAGAAACGAGAGCTCTTAGGTAGCATTTTAATAGCATTTTTTATTTGCTTCCACATTAAAGTAATATGAGCTTAATGTAGGAGATTTGAACCGCTCTTAACAGTGCTTAGATGTCTGGTTGAACATCTGTCATGCTCTAGTCTTAGAAGAAGGCATGGTTATTCCTGTTTTGGAAGGAAGGAAGGAAGGTCAGCCACCTCGTCAGTGGCGGGCTTGGGGTCTGAGCCCGTCGCTCAGAATGTGTGTTACCAAAGCTTGAGTTCTGCGCCGCTGAGTTGAGCGTCATCCAGTCTCTTAGTGACAAGCTGGCATGCAAGCAGCCTTCCTTCAGGGCATAGAGCTGTGCACATGCGAGGCCGGACACTGTTCTTAACCTCCTTTTCACCTAACAGCACACCAAGAACATGCACGGTTCATGCCATTACACACTCTTTGTCAATGACATTGGATGACCACATCCACCTCAGTTGTGCCCGTGTGCCATAGTTCATTCATCCCCTGGTTATTTAGATTGTGTGAATTTTTCACTATAATAAACAGTTGGCAATAAATACTGTAGCTTTATCTTTCTGTATATCCACAATTGTCTCTTCACAGTGATTTCTTAAGAATGCCTTCTAGGGGCTAAGTCTGGACAAAATATGGATACAAGTTGCCTGAAAGTTTGGGTTTATATTCCCCACAGCAGTAGCTCAGCTTCGCTTGTCTTCCATGATAGCGGTAGCTAAGACTTTTGTTTTTACCTCTGTTATTTCTTAGAGCTCTTTTTCTCAGTAGGGAAGGGAATGTCTAGCTGCTGTGGAAGATGCCACTGATTATAAACCTTAGGGCCTGTCAAGACCATCTGGAGGAGCTTTTTAAGCAGCACATAGGCCCAAGTTAGCTCCACCCTAGGACAAGCTAGATTCTCTGGGGTCAGAGGGAGGCAAAGGGTATTTTTTCCAAAGCCTCCTGCATGGTGTGACCCTTGGGATCCCCCACCTCCTCCCCCAGGCCCTTGGAGCTTTTAGCTTCTTCCTGCCCTACCCTGCCTGTGGCTCTGGAGCCTAACTCACAGCCCCACTAGGTGAACGGGGCTGGAGTTCTGCTCCTGTTGCACAGGTAACAAAGCGTCCCCTAGGGGCCATACAGGTTGCCTTGCTCTCCCTGGCAGGGGCAGGCACAGAAAGGCGCGCTGTGATCTCACAGTGGGAGAAGCTGGCCCAGGGGTTGCCTGACTTCACAAGGCTGGAGCCCTCAGCGCTCGGTCATTACAGATGTGGTCAGGGTTGTGTGTGTTTAGGCTTCTCATCATGACTCTTTCTTAACCTCATGATGCACAAATATATATTCAAGACTCATGCTGTTTTAAGATTCCTTTTTGTGGACGGCAGCAGCATCAGAGGTCAAACCCAGGACTTCACATGTGCTAGACGACCACACTCCCCCTAAGCTGCTGCCAGTTGTCTTCGTCCTCACACGGCCTCATTCATGGTGAAAGACATTCAGCCACCACCTGTATATGACTGTGTCTCTTGTGTCGGTGTGTGCTGCTGCAGTCCTTTTCCTGAGCATACTGCAGTATGTATGTGGGCACTGCATTGTGTTTTAAACTATTTTAAGCCTTTGTCTTTTCTTTCTTTCTTTCTTTCTTTCTTTCTTTCTTTCTTTCTTTCTTTCTTTCTTTTTTTTTTTTAGATTGGTCCCATGGGGGCCAGGGAGATGGCTGAGTAGAATAGGCACAAGGGTCGCATGGTGTTGCCCAGGCTGGACTATAATTCCTACACTGAGGTGACTGCCCTGTCGGCCTCCCAAGTAGCTGGGACTATCATGCGTGCCCGTGTCTGGTCTAAGTCTAATCTTTTAAATAAATACAGTATTTTTGTTTTCTTGTAAAATGTAGCACATTATTAACATTTTTTAAAAATTGGGTAGGGGGAGGGCCCGCCAAATAGCTCAGCGGATTAAATAAAGTGCCTGCAAGCAGCACAGGGGCCAGAGGTTCGATCCCCGGGCCTACCAGGCCAGCCCCACTGAGACAGCAATTGAGACTTGGCGTGGTGACGTGTGCCTGTAATCCTGGTTCTTGGGAGGCTATAAACAGGTGGATCACTATGAGTCCCATCTAGTAGTGACACCTGAACAGCCTGTAGACCCTTCCCTAAAATAATAAAAAATAAAAACGGGGGGAGCATCACAAACCCTATCATTCTAACAAGCTGACTCAGGTCCTTATGTCATTCTTTTTACTGCGTGTTCACCCAGTACAGTTGTAGTAGCGCATGTGTACACGTACCGTCCAGTGTGTCGTTTGTGTGCTTCGCATCTGCATAGCCTTCTCTGAGTGAATGGACCATTACTGTTGGGGGATGGGAAAGCTCTCCGCAGGAGCCACCATGTCCAGCTTGCTCTTGCCCTCCCGTTTTCCCCAGTCCCCTCGCCATGAGTGTCTCAGGGTTATGGTGGAGGCCGGGGAGGGCTGTGTGGTCCTCATTAGGACCCTGAGCTCCAGCCCTGGAGACTGGGGGAGTTTTTTGACCAGTGACACCACTGGCGGCGGGCTGAGTGTGGTTCCTCTTCAGAGTAAGCTCTCCAGGGCACCTGCCTTAGCTGGTCATGAAAGGGATGTGGGGACACTGGGCAATGCCCAAAGGGGACGAATAAAAGTAGTTCATTCTGAGGAAAGGCCACTGGGATAGGGTGTAGGCATTAAAGTTACTCCAGCCCCAGAGAGGCTGCTTCCTCGTGTGTTTCCGAGGTCTCTGGCTCCATGCACAGGAATTGAGAGCCAGCTTCTTTGGACTCAGGTCATAGCCAAGACCCGACTTGCCCAGGCGTTGGGTTTGGGTCCCAGCCATGGCTTCAGCAAGCCCCTTCCTTCTGTGCTTGGCTTTTCCTCTGCCAATGAACCTCTGCCACTCCTGGCATCAGCACGCGATTAAGTGTAATCAGGTGTGGACAGCTTGGACGTGTGGAAAGTGCTCCACAGACCTGGAGAATTAGTGGTGTGCTGGCGCTTCCAGGCGCTTTGCTGAGGAAGTGCTCTGAGCCAGGCAGGGGACACTGGGTGCTGGGATCCAACCTGAACAGGACAGGCCCAGCTCGTGCACTTCCGAGACCACAGCACCGTGTTGCTGGCCCCGCAGGCTCAGGCTGCCAGCTGTGCACAGGTCTGGGGGTGGCACAACTGCCGCAGGAGGGCTGGCGGGCGTCGGGTGGGATGCCCCCTGTGGATGCCGAGCCCTGGGGCCATGGTGCCTGGGCAAGGCCCTTGAGCACTTGCAATGAATTGCAGGCTCTAAAGGGAACTTGACAGGCAAGAAAATGACCTCTCCCTGCCTGGCCAGGTGTTGCCTACCTTGCGTGCTTCCCAGTACCGTCACAGCTCTGGGCCCACAGGCCGTGCAGCAGCTCCCTCTTCAGGACTGGCTGGGCAGGGCTGGAGAGCGAGGGCAGCAACCTGGGGCAGAGCTGCCACCCACCACGGTGTGAGAGGGCCAGGGAGATGCCACCTCCTCCATCGCTTGGTGTGGGCAGAGCCCGGCCTCTGTGTGGCTTCAGTGTGGAGTGCTGCCCAGGTGAGCCCCCCTCCTGAGCACCCGTCTCCCTCTCTCCCTCCAGATCATCGACCCCAAGATGCCCCGGGAGGGCCTCCTGCACAATGGCGTCCCCATCCCTGTGCCCCCGCTGGACGTGCTGAAGCTGGGCGAACAGAAACAGGCCGAGGCTGGAGAGAAGCTCTTCCTTGTCCTCTTCTTTGACAACAAGCGCACCTGGTGAGTGCAGGGCACCCAGCAGAGGATAGACGCTGTGGCAATTGGCAGGTGTGGTGTGGTGCTGCGGTTCCTGGGCAGCCAGCTGAGGCTGCAGTTGACCACAGGCCAGGTGCAGAGAGCATGCCCAGGGGAGGACACAGCAGTAGCAAACCTGAATGGGGCTGAGCCCAGCCTCCAGTGCACTTAGGAGAGCTGTTGGCCGTTAGGCTGTATCTCTGTGCCCTATGCCACTGGCCCTGGGGGCCCTGCAACCTCAGGCCAGGCAGCAGCTGTGGTGGTGACTCCTGGAGAGGGACTGGGCGGTGCCCCGCAGCTGCCAGCGGTGAAAAAGTGCATTTCAGGCCTGCAGGGCACCCTACAAAAGGGACTGCTCTTCACTGCTTATGCCCCTAAAGGTGCCTTGGCACTAGCAGGAGGGTGCTCTCTCCCCTGCTTCCACAGAGGGAGGAGGTGGCAGTGACTGGTAAGGACAGTAGCCACCATGTATTGATCAGTAGCTTGGTGCTTATCCTTTGGCTTTTCCTGCTCACATCTTAACGCCCTCAATCCATTTCTCATGTGGGCAGGCAGAGGCTCAGAAAGTCAAGAGCCCAACCCTACTGCTCAGCAGGCGTTCACGCCTAGCTCTGACAGCGCAGGCTGTGCGCCCAGCCACGTGAGAATGAGCTGGGGCCGTCAGTGCACACGCATGTGCACACACACAGGCAAGGCTCAGGAGACCGAGGGTGCCTGGCATTAGCTTTTCTTCCCAGCCTGAGTGTGCCAGCTCCCACAGGCACACGAAGCCCAGACCCCGCTCCTCGGGCTAGAGAGCAGCCTCTTGTGACTCCAGGACTCGACAACCCTCGGAGCATAGAGGGCTCAGGGGACGACCTGGCTTCTAGCCCCACATGTCTGGCCTACCTGGATCTGGGGCGCCTGCCTGGGGCATCCGCCCTGTACCCTTTGCTGGACCTTGCTGGCCGGGGGTGCTCAGAGGAGCCCGTCTGGGCCCCAGAGTGCAGCCTCTGAACTGTGCTTGCCTTTCAGGCAGTGGCTTCCCAGGGACAAAGTGCTGCCCCTGGGTGTGGAAGACACGGTGGACAAGCTCAAGATGCTAGAAGGCCGCAAGACCAGCATCCGCAAGTCGGTACAGGTGGCCTACGACCGCGCCATGATCCACCTCAGCCGGGTCCGGGGCCCCCACTCCTTCGTCGCCTCGAGCTACCTGTGAGGCTAGGACTGACCCTGCGTCTGCCTGCCCTGCATTGCTGGGCCTCTCCCTGGGGCATGGAGAAGCCCCTTCAGCCCAGCCAGACGTGTAGCTGGCAGCTTCCCCCTCAGGGTAGCCCGGGGGCTAGACTGTGTCTGCACTAAAGGGAAGGCCCCCGTTTTGACCATTCACACCATTCCCTGGAGGACCTGCTGTGTGCCAAAACCTGCCAGGGCTTCCTCTGGGCTGCTCCACTGAAGAACCACTTGCTGTGGGCTCGGCCAGCCCGGCGCTGGCCCAGGCTCAGGCCCAGGCCCTGAGGTGAGCAGTCTGGGCTCCTCCTTGGCCTGCCTGGCTCCCTCCCCCATCCCCCCGGGGCTGCCACTTCTCTGACCCTGACCCCAGAGGTGCTGTGGGTGCCTGGGGCCCTCGGCCTCCCACCGAGCTCCCCAGCCCTCCACCCACCTCCCCTCAGTCTTCCACACTGAGGCGCAGGCTCCCTGTGCCCCCTTCCCGTCCTGCCTCTCTTGTGCCAAACTGACAGAACCATCACCAAACTCGAGCTTTCTTCCACGTCTCCTTCCCTTCACCAGCTGCTCTGCTAGCTGGGTGTCAGGGCCCAGGCAGAGGGCAGCCTACCCCCAGGACCCCTACACCCAGAGACCCCCACTCCTGCTGCCGATCTCGAGGCTGGTGGAGCGTGCCCTCTGCCAGGCCTGCTGTGGGAGGGCTGGCTGCTGTCAGCAGGCCAGGCTGGGGGGCTTGCGGGGGCTGGGCCTGGCAGGAGCTGGGCCTCTCGCCCCGCCCCCGCCCCTTCTCCTCTTCCCGGGGGCCGGGCCGGCGGGTGGCATGCGCTGCCCTGCCTTAGCTTCCGCCAGTGCCCTCCCAGCCAGGGCCAAGCAGGGATCGCAGCCCTGCTCTCGCACCTGTCTCCTCCCTCTTTCTCTGTCATCTCTTCCCCGCCTTCACCTTCTCAAAAATGGAAGGAAAAAAACTGTGAATGGGGAACGCTGACTGACAAACCAACACAACTTTCCGAGGCTTCCAGGTCTGCTCTCGGGTCGCTCCTTTCACCTCGTAAGCACCAAAGTCGCAGGGCCCGGCTGCAGGCCACTGATCGCCATGTTGATTTTTAACTCGATGTTCTTTTTAATTGTTTTAAATTTTTCACAGGGGAGTTTTGGACAAAACAAAGTCACTGGGGAGTTCACTGCCATTTTTACACACTTCAACTTTTTAAAACTGCAAGCAACGACACACCAACTTCTTAAACATTTGGGACATGAGCCAGAGTTTAAAAGGGAACCGACAAAACTCACACAGGATGGGATCTGGGATTTTGTACAATAATAAAAACAATAGAGCATATGGCTAGGGAAGGACATGGTGTATATAATTGTAAAATACTGCTCTAAGTTATTCAGGCCTCCGCTTTCCATTGCTGGAGTTGCCCCCCCGCCGCGGTGTGGTGGGCTGGAGGAGCCCCCACCCCTCTCCCCAGGTAGTTGGTCTGCTGTGGGCTCTGTGGCCTTTGTCTAAACCTGTGTCGTGAGATCCCGGGGCTCTCTCCCTCGCTCTTTCTGCGTATGTCTAGCTCGCTCTTTCCTCACACTCTCTTCTTAGTCTCTATTTTTCAGTCTCAATCTTTCAGTCTCTGAGTCTCATTTTTAAAATGCTCTTTTAGAACAGGAAACGGCTGAGACCCTGCTGTGGCACGGGCCTCCGTGTCTCTGTCACGTCTGCTGTGAAGCACACGATGCTCTATTTATTGTAGAAAGTGACTTTATTTGCTTTCTAGAATTGTTTATAACAGATGGTATAAGAGAGATAATAAACAAAAATCTATGCCTGTAAAGAATACAGAAGTTAATTTTCCCTACTATAATATGACTGTCGGAAACTTATTTTCTCTCTGAGAAATAAATGTTCTAATGGGCAGCAGTCACTGTGCCGTGTCTGGTGTGGTCACTGCCAGGCCCGAAGCTGGGGTCATCTGGCTGTGAGGACCCCAACTAGAGAAGCTTCTGGCCGTGGCCCCAGGAGGGCTGTGGAGGAGACCCCGAGCCTTCCCTCCAGGGCAGTGCTGCCTTCTGCATGGGGCAGGCCACCCGCCAGGCCTTGGCGTGCCTGTGGCCATGGTCCTCTAGGAGCCCCTCGTTCGCCTGGGGGGTGGCCCTGGCTCAGGAAGGTAGGGCCCCTGAATCCAACTGCAGGGGCTGACCAGAGGCTGGTGATGTGAGCGTCTAGCTTAAAGCTTTGTCACCAGTTGTGTGACCTGGGGTACAATAGATGTCATAAAGGACCCTAAAGCCAACGCAGGGCGTCCTGGTGGCTGGCAGCATCTGTGGAGGATTTGAACAGGAAAGACTCCTTGGAGCTTGGCAAATAATTCAGCCTCAAGCAAAAGGAAGGAGCTGTTGATTGACCAGAGGGGTCAAGGGGCTCAGAGGAGGCAGCGTTTAATCTTGGGTAAGTCAGAGTTAAGAGGCAGGTAGGAGCCCAGGTTGGAGGTGTGGGGGTAGTGGAACCCACTAGGCCACAGACTGGCTGAGGAGGGCATGTGAGGCTGGGAAGGCCCACATGCAGAGGGACAGGTGGGAAGGGGGCCAGGGACGGTCCTTGGGATCAGTGGGCTCAGCACCGCAGAGTGGAAGGTTCCCTGGGCAGGGCCAAGACCCAGCGCCCCAGGTGGGCGGCAGGGGCCCTCCGGGGTCTACAGCTGCTACATCCAACAGTCTTTCAGTGATGCCACGTTCCTGGAGCTCACAGGGTGGCCACCTTGGTCCGTACTCTAGGCCTGCCCGATCGCCGGCAGCTTCTGTGGAGCTGTGCACACCTAGGGGCCTCTCCTCCCACTGCCCTTGTGGGACCCTTACGCCTGCAGGGTGGAGGGCTGGAGGGAGAGCTGCCTGGGTTGTCCCTGTGCACTGTGCCTGACCGTCTCCTCCCAGCGCTGCAGTGGTCTCCACCTTGGCTTGCAGCAAAATCCCATCTCACGCAGGTCATCCTCCTTGCCTCCTTCCTCTCCTGGCCCACTGGGTCCGAGGGCCTCCAGCTTCCCGGTGACAGGCACAGGCGCCTTGTCCTGTGCAAACCCTTCCTTGCTCAGAGCGATGCCTGCAAATCTGCCACTAGCACTTAAGTTTGACCTGTCTAGGCCAAGACCCTCAGGCTCAAGGTGGTGAGTCTGGTCGGTCCTTGCAGTGGGGCTGTGGCTCTTTAAAGGATTGGTGGCCTGGGATGGATGGGGACCTGGGAGTGAGTTTGATTGAGGCCCTGGAGCAAGGACACGGGATCCTTGAGGGGAGGCTGAAAGGCGGAGGATAAAGGCCACTTAGTGCTGGCTGTCCTCCTTGCTGTGACAATTTCAGAGCCACAGAGGAAGAAGGTGGGGAGAGCTCTGAAGCCACTTCAAAGGCATGGCCCAGAGGGAGGGAGTGAAGGTCGCAGATAAAGAACAGGGTCAGGCAATGAGACAGGAGGGACCTTGGCCTGGAAGCTCCACTCTGGGGACAAAAGACTGCAGACCAGGATTGGCCCTGGCCACTGATGTTGGCCCTGTCCCTAGGCCCCACGAACGCCCTCAGCTGAGGGCAGGGCCTGGGGCCTACACAGCGGAGGGCGCAGGCTTCCCAGCTGGAAGAAGGGTTCCCGGCTCCGTGCTCGCCCACCCGGCCCACCCGGGTCAAGGCAGCCAGAGCCGGGCAGTCCTCCCCTCAGACTGTCCCTTCTAGGACCAGAGCTCAGTTTCTCCCCTACTATTTCTTTCTCTCTGCCTCTCAGTCTTCTCAGGATCCTTAGATTTATGGCTTTAATTCCAGGTGGTTTTTATGTTATTGAGAATTCCAAAATCTCAGGGAGGTCTCACTCCTGGTCCTCAGCCTGTCACTGCTTGACAGGGTTTTTCTTTTTTGAGGCAGGGTTTCTCTATACAGTACAGGCTGGCCAGGGTCCTCAGCCTGTCTCACCGTGTCAAGCAGTAGTTGGAAAATAAAAAACACTCATGATACAATAAACCCACCCAGTATCCAGTATCTTTCCTCCCCAGAGGCTACAAGTTTCTCCAGTTTATAAAGAACTTTCTAGAAGTTGAGAGAGAGAGAGAGAGAGAGAGAGAGAGAGAGAGAGAGAGAGAGAGAGAGAGACCTTTTCATATATAAACGGTAGCATTGCTCATGCTGTCCTAGGGCTCATTTTAAAATACTGTCTCTATTAAACCACGCATGGTGGCGCACACCCGCACTTGGGAAGCTGAGGCAGGAGGACTGCTATGAGCTTGAGGCCAGCCTGGGTGGGCTACAAAGCGAGTTCAAGGCCAGCCTGTACTGTATAGGGAAACCCTGCCTCAAAAAAGAAAAATAAGATTTTTTTTAAGGTTTCAAAAATTTAATGTTGATTTAATAGTACTGATCACAGAAAAAAATTTAAGATTTCTGATTAAGTATATTTCACTGTCCAGGCGATGATCATTTTAAAAACTTGATTCAGTGTTGTCTTGGCCATGATGAAGGGGGGATCGTCTTGTGAGCTCACAGAGTAGATGCGCCGCAGCCCCTGTGCAGCTCCAGACAGCCCCAGCTTGGTCCCCTCCAGCATTTCCTCTCAGCGTTGAACCTGGTTTTATTACCAGTCTTCATCCAAATCCACTGAGGACTGGGGCGACTCTGCTTTTGCATCTTGGCCAGGAATCATTTGGTTCTGAGAGTCTTGTGAGAAGACATGGGGAGGGTAGGAGGCAAGAGCACACAGTGAGTCCTTTTTTAAACATTCGAGCAGGCATAAAGCAGTAGTTAGAAAATAAAAACCACTCATGATACAATAAACCCACCCAGTATCCAGACCCTGCTCTAGACAGAGAAGCTGGGCCTCTGCCTTCCCTTCCCCTCCCCTCTCCTTTTTCCTTTTTCCTTTTTCCTTTTTTTTTTTTTTTTTTTAAACAGGCTATGTTGCCCAGACTAGATTCAAATTCCGGGGCTCCAGTGGTTCTCCTGCCTCTGTGTCCCCGCTAGCGGGCACCACAGTAGTGCCCCATCACCCCTTATCCAGGCTTTTTAAATTCTTTCCGAGCCCTTTCCTAGTCCCAGTCCTCATCTGCTAAATACTAGCCTGAAGTTTATGCTTGCCATGTCTTTTTCCCCCCTTTATAATCCTGTCATTTATTTATAATATAACAAATATGCATTTACCATAATCAGCAAATATTGTAAACATATAATATATCATAGATACAATATCTATTATATAATATAATGACTATACATTATACATAATGAATATATTAAAGAAAATGAATGTAATAATGAATAGTTCCTTGATAATTTGGATTTTGAATAAATAGTTCTCCTCAACTTGCTTTTATTTTACCTCTGATTAGGGTCCTGGGCGCAGGAGCAGAGCGGTGCTAAGTTCATTTTCTCTTCTCCGGAATCCCATTGTGCGAAGACACCGTGATTAATTTTTCACTGTAATCTGTGAGGGCACTTGGGTTTGCTTTCAATTCTAGGAGCATCAGGGTGAGCATGTTCTAAACGGTTCCTCTAGTGGGAATGTGGCGTGGGGTGGGAATGTGGGGTGGGGTGGGACTATCTCTGGAGTCCCAGGGACTGCGCGCCAGCTTCACTAGAGTGACACAACGCTTCCCAAAGTGCTGATGCCTATGCACACCACACTCCTGCTTTGAGAGCTCACCTTGACCACTTCTTGCATTTCCAGACTGATTCATGGAAAGTCATCCTTGACCCGCAGCTGTGGGCAGGCCCTCCCCTCCCCTCCCCTCCCCTCCCCTCCTCTCCTGGGTTGGGTGCCTGGGGCATCTGCCATGGCTGCTCAGAGTGGTCTCAGAGTGCCAGCAACCACTCCAGTGGGGGCTTGGCCCTCCGTCTGAGCAGTCAGCTGCAGGTGGTGTGACATTACTCTGCCTGCAGGAACGGAGCCTCAGAGCCGGTGAGCAGCTCGGAGGAGGGCGCGTAGCTGGGAACGTGGAGCAGCTGGAATTCTTCCAGTCCCTCTGCTTCTACAGCCACGCCTTTCCCTCCCTCCTCGTCTTTATTTACCCTTTCTGCCTCTCTGTCCCTGTCTCCCTGTTTCTCAGATAAATGTCACTTGCACATGGTCCCCAAATCAAAGGGCATAAAGGACGTAACAGTGGCATTCTAGTTCCCAGCATTTTCCTTTATACTGACACCTAAATGCACCTGTTTCTTATAACTAGTTTTAGATTATTCTTTGCATGTGTAAATGAGTATATCCTGTAGACATCTCCTCCACTTTCTGGATAAAAATACCCTAGCATCCTGTATGTGCTGTTTCACGCAGGTGTTTGCTTTGCTTCAGTATCTTATCCTATCAGCTCTCAGCAAGTGTTCCTGCCTCTGCTTTGTCCCCCACATGTCCCACCCACCCTCCGTGCAGTGGCTGTTCTGGGCTCTTCTGACCTTGTTCTGTCGCAGGCCGTTCTGTGGGCACAGTTTTGAGCTCGGGCGTGGGTACATCTGTCATAGATGTTCTTGTCCCTAGACCTGTTCAGACTTAGCCACAAAAATGCTTCTTCCTTCTGTTACCTGACCCCTCCCGCGTGTTCCCTTGGCAGCACCTTCTCCACACATGTGGCTGTCTGGGTACTGGTGCTGTCTCTGGGGCTCCTCCGCAGGGGCCAGGGGGCGTTGTCCTGTGTGTCCAGCACACAGTAGGAGGTCTCCTAGGGCAGTGGGCTGCATAGTTTCCTGATGTATTGCCCTCCCTGCACTTGGCCCTCAGGCCACACCATGGAGCCCCAGCACGAAGGATCACCCCACGCTCAGGGATGACCCAGTTTGCCCTTGGCTGGGATTGATTGTGGCCACTTAGGCTGTGGAGGAAGCCCAGGGCCCCCATGGCCTTCCTGGCCAAGCGAGGACCAACTCTCCCTTCCCCAGGCAGCCTCTGCGGCGACCCAGGGCCTA